AATTTATTAGAGCATAAGCTTTCGAAGTGGGCTGTAGTCCACGAAAGCTTATGCTCTAATAAATTTGTTAGTCTCTAAGGTGGCACAAGTACTCCTGTTCTTTAACAATTGTTACTCTACCTGAGACAGCTATTAAATTGTATAAACTTGTGATGGAATAAACCAATGCATCACTAGATAGGAACAACTTGCAGGGCAATGACTAAGAGAGGTTTTTTTGTGAGGGGGGCGGAATTAGATTTCTCATTTTTTATTACCATGTTTTATTTATTTTACAGTGTTTTTTGATACATTCTATTTTGGGTTTTCTATTTTCTGACATTAGAGGAATTTTCTTCCATCAAAGGCAGCCTCCCCTACTGCCAAACTTTTAGATTCTCTGAACTTGATTCTGACACTTTGCCAACAAGTGCATTAGAACATATTGGTGATGTGCGTAGTACCCAAGGGTGTTTTACTGTTTGTTGCCTAATTTGGACTTTCTGAATTATGAACTAGAGATGAAAGACTAAGGTGCTAACTTTCAGAAAGGCACTTAATCCATTTACTGTATGTACCTCTGATAATTCTGAAGAAAGCTAAAAATAGCATGTCCCATTAGTAAACAAACCTGTGATATTTTCAGTGATGAATGTACTTGCTATGAATATCATAACCTCTTCCTGTCTTCTCAACACACTTGTCCAAAAATGTTCAGAGTCCCTATATTAGCTTTTCCCATTTTATTGATTTCAAATATAGATGCTCACTTGGTTAGATATTTCCAAGACTGTACTATTAATGCAACAACTATGTCTGGACCAATGGCCTCATGGGAGTGATAGACCTTGTAACGTGGGAGACTCTGGATCACTTTCTGCTTCCAGAGTCCTACCCACTAGTGGATTGGAATTCTGCAGAGGGAACACACTGGAGCGGGAAGGGAAATGTGTTGCTCAATAGTGACTTCTCTTGGCTCACTGAAGATCAGGGTTGGCCAGAGGAGAGCCCAGAAACTTTTCCTTAGAAAGGAAGTTGGAGGTTTTTAAAACCAGATTGGACATTTGTCAGGGATGGTTGAGGTTTACGTGGTCCCGCCTCATAGCAGAGGGCTGGACTTGATGACTTCTTGAGGTCCCTTTGAGCCCTATGATTCTATGAAGTAACGTTTTGGAATATTCTGCTCTCTAGATGCAATGTTGTAGTTCTCCCAGCACTTCCCTAGCAAAAAAACCCTCAGTCTTCACAGATTCACAAACATCCCTTTTGATTTAATAGGATTTATATAGTATTATGGATAAATGTCAGAACCACAAGACCTTTTCGTCATTAGCAGCACATCTCATCAGTCCACATCCAAAGCAGTTGAGCTTCACCCAGAGATGGCAGGGAAGTTCAAAACCAGGAGGCTGGATTGTCGGATTTGTCAGGAGATATGCATTGGCTATGTTTGAAGCTTGTTTTTGCCATCTAATACACCATCCAGAGGTGATATTGAAGAGTTAAGGGTGCTTGCAGATTGAGACCTTATATCTTGCTCATCACTTTGGCTCATCTCCAAAGCTCACCAGGATATGCGTAACTGAGTCACTTTTGGATGGATTGAAGCTAGCCAGCAGTTGGTATGGTGAAAGGGGATGGGATATGGAGGTCGCAGACATGAAAAAGCAATTATATCTTTAGGTTAGAATTAAAATAAATAAAAGATGTGGTTTCACTTTTGTTTTACTATGGGAAAATCCATTACTCTTTCCATTAATTATATATTAACCATTTTTCCTAGCTATGTCATAGCAAAGACAACGGAGCAGAGAAATAAAATCCATGCTATTCACTCCAGATTAGAATGCAGCATGTATACTGTCCTTTCATCCAATAACAAACCCCTTCACCAGCCAACTGAACTTCCATACTTTCTATCTCTGTTCACCCACAGCCTAATTAGCTCTTTATTAAGCTGCATACCTGCAGTGGCTTTACCTTCACGTCACTGTGCTATAGCACTTCTTAACCCCCAACTCCACTTATGCTGTGCCACAGGACCCTCTGTTGCTTTATGCTGTTACTGTTGAATTTTAACATTTATTAGAGTTGCTTGACTGCTCACAGCAACCAAATCGCTCTGGTGCATCTCACTCTTCCATGGAGGAGAGCAGGGAATGTATAGACTGGCTCCGAACTCTATACCACAATCTATTTTTAGAGCCCATTTTTTCTGAGAAACAAGTTTGTGCACGGTAGACAAATCCTTGAAGGAAAAGTCACTTCCACCTGATTTGGTAATCTAAAACATCTTTAATTTTGGCTTCCTTCTACAGAGCACAGAACTGCTACATCAAGTTAATTTTGCAGTCTCTCTAAATTGCACTGAGGTTTATTTAGAGAGGAACCAAATTTAGACCCATTAGATCATACCAAACAGTACACTGTACTGAATAGAAAAACTATTCTGCTGTTAAACAGACTCTTGAATTATATATGTGAAAGCTAATCAAAGTGCTCCCTAAGATGCATTTAAAAAAAAGGGTCAATTACAGGGAAATTCCTAAAATGTGTGGCTTTAAAAAAGAACTGCAGCTATTGTAAAGATGAAATGTTTTATCCAAATTTACACACAGAAAACCAGGGTAAAAGGAATGCAGGTAGTTACTGTAGATTCTAGAGACTATAATACAGTGTTAAGACTGCCAGCCCTGGCTTTGCTGCAAAAAGACTTATCTAATTAAACTGAAACCCGATAAAAATGTAGGTCAGTTCACTTCCACTATCAGCTGCCCTACTCACATAGCCTGTTCTTTTGCACTCCTCCTCCAAGCCAGGCAT